GCATTCAATTTAGATTTTACCTTGGGAAAATTCATGCTGTACATTTTAATGAAAAGGACTATGTCTATGGCTCCTCAAAGAGAATAACTTTTTAGTAATTATAAAATATGCTGGTTATGGTGTATTTTCAGTGCTTTTCCCTTTAAAAATGTGATTTTGTTTTTGTCTTTTTGTGACAGGGTCTCTGTATGCAGTTCAGGCTGGCTCACTTTGTAGGCCAAACTGGTCTCGAGCCTCCCGAGTACTGGGATTACAGGCGTGAGCCACCATGTCTGGCTCTTTGGAGGGGGTTACCAGGGACCAAACTCACAACCTCTTGCTTGCCAGGCAGGCACTTATGCCAATGAGCTAAATCCCCAGCCCTAAAAATATGGATTCTGTTCTCCCCCTAATACAGAATAATTTCTGATAATTTCCTATTGCAGTTTCAGCACATGCACTGTGCTGTGTGCACACATTTCTCATTCATTTGTATACATTTTCAGTCAAGTCCAGTTTCAATAGACTTTGAAGGAACTTGTTATGAAGAGTATATATATAGGACTTCCGGGAGAACATGGCGGACAGATAACAGCAACTGCCGGAGGCTCTCTGAAAAACTAGGCTCAGAAGCCAGGTATGGTGCGGACTAAAGAGACATAAGCTGGTGGAGTTATGCTCTGCTGACTCAGGAACGAACTCGGCTGAGAGAAACCAACTTGGAATGCAGTCCTGGTGCTAAAACAGGAACAGAAAAGCCTTGCTGCCGAGGCTGGACCCCGCGCCATTGGAAGCCGCGATTTGGGTTTCCCGCCGCGCGGTGGCTGGCTGCCTCTACATCGGCTCGGCAAGGAGAGAGACGCGCGGAAACTCTGGGAGCGGGAGTCTGCGAACGGAGTCGAAAACAGGACGGGCAGGGAGGCATGTTCTGACTTGTGGCGAGGTGAGTGAGAGAGGCTGACACTCCGCCACAGTTTGAGCCACAGTTTGACTCCAGCGGACTTTCTGGGCCGGAGCAGTCCTGCTGGAGCAGGGCGCGGTGGCGACTCCAGCCACACATTCCCCTCTCGGGCGGGATTGGTGAAAAGTGCCTGGCCTGCGTGACGCTGCTGGCGGATCCCGTAGGCTGTCCCAACCCAGATCCCAGAGCCTGACGGTGGCCGGGAGGGGAGACGCGTAGGCTGCCTGGTCCGTAACTCCCTGGTGCGCAGCGGTGAGCTGGAACACTTAACTGGCGCAATTCGATCAGGCTGTGGCTGACTGGGAGAGAAGCTGGGCCTCTTATATAAGCTTACTTATATAAGGAACAGAGAAGAAGAGGCAGCATGGGAAGAGGCAGCAACAAGAAAGGCTCCTCGGCCCCCAATTCTGAGAATCAGGCAATAGCAGACACCGCACCAATACACATAAGGCGCCATATAGAGAGCCTCATAGACCAATTCAGGAATGAAGTTATCAACGACCTGAAGCTAGAAGTAGGCAAAATAGTTAGAGAAATGCTAAGTACCACCCAAGAAAAAACAGGTGGTGGAATGGAAGAACAGAAAAAAAGGGGAGAATTGTTTGATGGAGAAAACAGAGAAAGCATAGAATACGTGAAGCAGGTTCAAAGGGACTACCAAGATACTAAGAAGTCTATCGAAGACTGGCATAACAGCTTGAAAGAAACTAAGGACAGACTATCTGAACTGGAGGGCAGACTTGTAATATGGGAGAATGAAATGAAAAACTTCTTAAAAATAACAAAGAAACAAACAGCAATAATACAAAGACAAGAAGATGATAAGAGGATCCATAACTTAAGGATTAAGAACATAAAAGAAGAAGTAGGGACACAAACAAGTGAACTACAAAAGCTACTCACAGAAATAATCCAGGAGAATTTTCCTAATTTAGCAAAAGGTAAAGATACTCAGATGTATGAGGCATACAGGACCCCAGCCACCTACAACCCAAGCAGAGCAACACCCAGGCATATAATAATCAAAATACCAGAAATTCAATACAAGAACAGAATATTAAAAGCTGTCAGAGACAAGAAACAGACCACTTACAAGGGAACACCCATCAGAATTACAGCAGATTTCTCTGCACAAACCATCAAATCACGAAGAGCGTGGGGGGAAATAATTCAAGCTTTGAAAGATAATAATCTCCAGCCAAGATTGAGATATCCTGCACAACTGTCCCTGGAAATTGATGGAAAAACAAGGTGCTTCCAGGATAAAGAGGAACTGGGGGAATTTGCAACCACCAATTCAACTCTACAGAGAGTATTGCAGGATATTCTAAAAAAAGAAAAATACAAAGAATCCAGAAATAGTGGAGGCCACAACGAATGGAGCAGAGAACAAAGTGAAGAAGACAAACTGACAGCTACTGACAGAATAAGAGCTCAACAGAAATGAGACAGAGAAGATTGGATGATAGGAACAGCTTTTTTGGAGAAAATGACATCTTAATAGGTAATACTGATTTAGTATCATCTTGTTTTGAAGTCTCATCTAGCTTTTGTCCTTCTGTCTCCAATGGTCTAAATAGGTTGTATCTTACTGGATTTTATTATGTACGATAGTATAAGCAAAAACCTTTTAAAGACAAGGAGATTATACAGAAACCATTGTTCATTTTCTGTTAGTCGATTCGAAATTCTCTGTAATGCTGTCATTCTCTTAAATGGTTTTACATTGTTTTGATATACTTAATGCTACAGTATACGAAGTTGTACTCAAGGATTTCAAGGAAAGAGACAATATGGTAACTACTTTTAGGTCAGGATTATCTGGTGGTGAAACACTATTCTGCGTAAATGGTTATGTTTTGATCTGTGCTGTTTCGTTGTTATGCCCTCTTTTATCTCAATCTCCACTCCATTATTTACTTTTTTATTTTTATCCTTTTAATTAAAGGAAAAAATAGCAGGATATATTATAGTAACCCACTTTGACTTTCCATTACCTCAATTTAAAGCCCTGTATTACTCTCACCATCTGGTTTTTAACTGATGTTCCCCTATTCTGTTTTGCTGGATAGTATCAGGTTCGAAAATTTAGGCATCAGCTGTGAAGATAATGAGATTCATTATAACGCCCATTCTCGTTGACTTTTATCTACTTTTGAAGACCTGCAATGTCTCCAATGTTTTGGTTTTGTCGGTTTTATTCTTTACTGTTTTGTTCAATTGTATTATAACTAATGATATAGGCAATTCTATTAGAGATAGCGGGAGGCATTATGGTAACCATTGTTGATCACCTTGTATTATGTTTTCACATTATCTATTATGTCCACCCTTTTGACTTGACCGATTCTGTTCTGTTATGTCACATTTGGTTTTACTCTCTTCCAAAAAAGTAATAAGAACCGTGGGAGCAATGAAACCCAAAATGTGTAATAGTCATTGTACAAAAGAGAGGAAAAGAAAGTGCTCTAAACTATATAACTGCATGTATATCTAAGTGTATAAGATAAAAAATGATATCACAGAGTTTTATTGGATCATTGAACAGAACTGTTAGCAGTATCATTGTTGGAATGTCCACTCTACAAGCTTTAATTTTGTGACTTGAACAATTATTTCTAAGATGACAATATGTAATCCATTAACTAGTGATTTCCTACTGTTCATTTTTTTTCTGCAAATCTGTATAACTTGTACCCTTTCTCTGTTTTTTTTTCTTTTCTCCTTAAATAAAAAAAAAAAGACAAAAAAAAAAGAGTATATATATATATACATATTTTTTTTTTCTTTTTCCTTTTTATCGGTACCGGGGATTGAACTCATGACTGCCTGCTTGCAAGGCAGGCGCTTATGCCACTGAGTTAAAACCCCAGCCCCTGAAGAGTATATTTTTAAAAAACTGTTACACATGGTTATACATTTCTTGGTTATCAAAGATGATAAGACTCTTTAAAGCCAAAACATTTTAGAAGTTCAGAATATTGAAGTGAAAGAGCACACACTGTTCAGGCAATTTTGGACAGAATCTAATAAGATTTAAAATTTAGAAAATGTTACAAGAGGAAAAAAAAACAAATAAAATATTGTCTGCAGCAACATTAGACAAATCTGAACTCAAAACCCAAGTTTGCCTCATTTCTTCCAGCAAGGAAAATATTTTCCCTTCTAGGGTCTCAGAATCCTAACCTGTGAAAAGAAAGTCAAGGAGCATGCTTTGGTGGATTGTTTGAATATTAAAAAAGAAAACATAAGGGTAACGTGCATAAATGTTCATTTCCTTCCCAAAATGAGTATGAAGACAACAATTATGCTTATGCCACCTTTATGCTTGGTGTATCATAAAGATTAAGAAAATAAATTAATTTCAACTTAATTTTATGCAAAACAAAAATTTTAAAAGTCTTGGACATACCTTGATTTAGTAATTCTTCAACCTTGCATCTCATATCCCAATTATCCAGGTACTACTTGAATAGGGAGAAGTTCTTCTACTTTGAGAGCAATGTTTGTAATGTTATAATGTTTGGGATAGTCCCAGAATTCACACTTCTTCAGTCCTCTGGCTTTTGGCACTGACTTTTGGCCTTGTTTTACTTTCTTTGCTCCCACTTTCCTCATCAATGAAAAGGAAACACTAAAAGCAATCTACAATCTCAACTGTTGCAAATAGGAATTGGTCTCAGTCCTAGAGAGGTCTTCCTGCCATTGTGCCCTGTTGCATTATAGTGGTCACAGGTGCTGATAAGCTTTGGCCAGCTTAGAGTTTATGGAATCCGAGATCTATTAGAGTTTCTGATAGACTGGACAAATAAGCCAGAAGTATCCATTGTCTGTATAATACTCCCAAAATGCCCATATCACTACCCGGAATGTCACAGATACATGTGTTCATCAGGTGGTTGATTCCTCAATCTTTGTACATTTCATTGGCCAGAGTGTATAGTGAGCTTGAGAAATATACAAGTATGGGGAGGAAGGTTAGGGGGAGATGAATGCCGGGAGATTAAGACCACTGGATGTAAAAAAAATCGGACACTGACTGCATCATGAAAGCAAAAAGTTTTCCAGCTTGGGTAATATTCATTCATTCTTTTCAACAAACATCTGTCATGTATCTAATCTATGTATACCTGGCATCACTAAAGCTATAAATAAGAACAAAATTCTTTATAGAACTTCAATTCAACTGGAAAGACACATAACGAACAGGCTTTCTCTGCCAGATCCTTCTTCCATGGCATATCTGTCTTGGACTCAGCCAATCATGTACTGAAACCCCCAAATCACAAACCAAATTAAACCTCTCTTCTTTTAAATTGTAGGTGTCAGGGTTCCAGCAATGGGAAACCTGACTCATACACTCTGGGACACAAAATACTTGGCAGTTGTTGACACTCTGAAGTAATCTGCTCTCTGACATAGTTAAAAGTGACTTTCCATGTTGGTAATAGGCAGAAGGGTGCCACAGTGTTGCTGTTGATGATGACGATGGTGGTGGCGGCAGTGGCGCTGGTGGTGATGGTGATGATGATTATAGTAAAAACTTAAAAAAATAAGACACCAGGTACAGTGGCATATCCCTGTAATCTTAGCTACTTAGGAGGTTGAAGTAGGAGTACTACAAGATTGAACCCAGCCTGAGCAATCTAGTGAGAGTGTGTCTCAAAATTTAAAAAATTTGTTTCAAGGGCTGGGGATACAGACCATTGATAGAGCACCCATTGTTTTGATCCCTAGTAACACGTACACACACACACAAGAAATAAATTGTCTTAATGAACAAAACTTAAAATCTAACATTGGGACTCTTTCTCCTTTGTTCTTAATTGGCTTTAATCACCACAGTCCTACTCTAAACACTTTTTAGGAGAGACTGCAGACTTTCCTACTTTTCTTATTTGAAGACTTTCTAAAAAGATTGTTTCTTTCTTTAAAAAAAAAACATTGTTTCTTAATATCTTTTAACTATCTTATCTACAACATGAGACATTTCTCATTCTTCACAAGCACACATTTCCTAAATCAGAAAGTCCTATAACTTAATCCTCTTAGAGTGATTTGGGGTTATATCTCCGCTGCTCCTCTGATATTTTTTTTAATCTTTTTCCTCCTTGTTCATTCTGGACCTTGAGATGTGTTAGGAATCTTGGTTTTGGGAGATCAAAGGAAAAGTAAAATAAGTTTTGCTCATATGCTTATCTTTTGTTTAGGTCTAAAATCAACATTATTTTTATATTTGCCTAAGATACATCATTAAAAATACTTCAAAGCTTTTGGGCTAAATATGTGCAAAGAATGCAAATATGTGCACTCTGAATTGCAGAGAAAATTAATTTCAAATGCTGGCAGAGAGGTTGGCATTAGATTTTCAAAATGATGTTATATTAATTCTCCAAGAATATCTTAGAGCCATTCTGAGTCAGAGGATAGGATGATATTTTGATCTTAAAAGATAAAAGGGCAATTCCAAGTAGCTAATTATGCACAGGGTTCATTATACATGTTGGCAAAAATATTAGGATAGTTTCCTCTATGAGATTAGGGCTAGATTTCACTCTTCACGCTATTAAACAGTTTTTCTTCTGGTTTACATACAGTAAGATTTTTTTCCCTGATGAACTGATGTTGGGGAACAAAAACCTATAATGATCTTCTGAGGTGATGCAATGAAATACCCCAATGACCTCATCTGGTCTTAATAAGTGGAAAAAAGATTTCACAGGACATTCAAAGGTCTGGTTTGGAATTCTGAATTTGACACTTACTAAAACTATGACTTTGGATAAGCTTCTTAATTCTTTTGAATCTGAGTTTCCTTGTGTGTAGAATATGAAAAACAACATGGCCTTTTAGGATTTTAAAAATAAATAGACCAATACTATATGTGGAAGAACTTGGCCCTAGCAGCTGCTTAGAAAACGTTAGTCCCCTCTGGGAGGCTAAAGGAACAAGGAGGTAAAGGGTGAAGCCATCAGCACTGCAGCAAAACCACACTAGACTTGGGGCAAGCTCAGTTTTCATTCCTGCTCCTGTGTTCGGTGCAGAAGGAACAGTTGTTGCCCAGGTCACATCCTTCTCGTGGTAGAGGAAGAAGGAAAGGAAGATTGAGATAAGAAAACAAAAAACACAGAGGTCTCTGCTGGCCCAGACTCTGAGCCAGGTGACGTCACTTCTCCCCACAGGCCCTGAAAAACAGCAGGCGGTGCAATGAAATAAATGCAGCCAGAAGAGCCGCAAAGACACGTGGCAAAGGGCACAGAGACAGGGGTAAGGGCTCGGGGCACCGTATGTTTTCTCAGAGAAGCGAACATAGCCGCTGGACGTGAAGGTCCGGGCACTGGGCCCTTTCCAGTTCAAGCTAATCAAATGAGGAGCTGGGAAGCAGGAAGGAGGTATGTGTTGGAAGCACAGGATGGGGTGAAGGGCTTGCCATTTCATATTTGCAAAGCCTTCAACAGAGAGCCAGCAAGGGTCGACAGAGTATAGTGCCCTGTGCACTGTCAGGCAAGATATGGGATGACAGCAAACTGACTTCTCTGTTATAAACTGATGGGTACAGACAGGTGGCGGGCTCTTCTGCATCATGAGGTCAGTGAACTGCTAACGGTGGGTACACAGATTTTAAGTTCTTCCTGATCCCTGGGTTTGTGCAGGAGGAGCTCTAATGTGATTCAAGGGAAGACATGAGCTTCTGGAGATGTAGACATGGCCACTTTGGGGAGAGGAGGTATCCAACAGAGGGAAAGGGCTACCTCTCCTGCTGGGCTTGGGTGTCCTGGTAGCTGCTGTCAGGAGTGGTACACGTGTGGGTCTGCTGCTCGGGAGCGGATTTGGTTCTCCAAAGGCAAACAGGAAGGTAGAGAGGCTCACAAGAAAACAGGCTGTGTTCTAGGCCTGCCTCGCTCATTTTGGCCGCAGAGACGCTGTCTGTACCCTCTGCCAGGCGACAGGCACGTTCCTGGAGGAGTCACAGCAGGAGCCTGTGGAGAGGGGGCTCGATCAACACCAGACAATGTACTCAGCAAGTGGGAGTCACAGGAAGCCTGGTGCTGGGGAACCCATGGGATGTGGGAAGGCTGAGCGAGGCCTTAAAAAGGTGAGCCTGAGCGCCAGCTCCTACAAGAGACATGTTGCGTGTTCTCCCAAGGCTTCCAGTCTTGCTGACCCCAACAGGGACACAGATAGTGCTGTGGATGTGCGTGCCAGCTGGTGTGAGAGGCTCCAATCTATTGGCAGGCACATGACTAGGGAGAGCAATGAGGAAAAGGGGTGCTCATGTGGGGAGAAGCATGGGATCAGTGTCCCGAAAGGCCATTCAGGGGACAGGGAGAGGGATGAAGAGTGGCGAGCATCACAGGCGAGGATTCAAGGGGGCGCTGAATTTGTGACTTCAGAAGGGATCCAGATAATTTCTGCCTCAATTTACCATCCAGCCTTGGCATGGTTATGGATTTGTGGCTCAGAATTGACTGCAATGCACCTCAATCATCTTTGGCCTTTAGTGCTCAGTGTGGCTGGAAATTTAAATGTTAAGACATTTTCCTTCCTTGGGACCCTGCCTTGGTGATGAGTCTATTGCACACCCTAAGCACATAACTCTTCTCATACAGCCCTGTTCATGGTCACATCTCTCCACACTCTGCTATTGTGACTTCATAACTGATTAACTATTTTACTAAAATATATTTTTGTACAGGTTCTGAGGGTTAAACCTGGGCCTTTATGCTAAACTATACCTTTAGATTTTTAAATTTTTATTTTGAGGCAGTCTTGCTATATCACTAAGTTACCCAGCCTGGGTCTGAATTCATGAGCCTCCTGCCTCAGCCTCTTGAGAGCGCTGGAATCACAGGCTTTTACCACCATTCCCTGCTAAAAATATGTTTCTTTTCAATTTAATTCAACAAAAAGTTCTGATGTCCCTTCTGGGCTTATGCACTGAGGTAGGCGCTGAACTCCAGTGGAGAAAAGACAGATACAGTGTCCACTGTGGTTAGGCTGGAGGGGGGGCAGAGTACCCCTCACAGTACCCAGGGCTTGGCCCACATAAGTCAAAGTCCCTGTTCCAGGAGACCTCTAACTTTGTCATAGACACACACAGTGAAACCCTGCAGATACAGTGGAGTCCTCTTTGTTCCCATCTCTATTCCCTCTCTCCTTCAGGGTCACCCACCATAGTGAATCAGGGATATGTCCTGTTTTGTATCTGTATATCTTTTTTTTTTTTTTTTTTCGGTATGTGTGGTACTGAGGATTGAATCCAGGAGGGCGTCTACCCGTGAGTTCATCCTCAGCCTTTGTTGCTTTAATTGTGAGTCAGGGTTTCACTGATTTGTCTAGGCCAGACTATAACACGCAATCCTCCTGCCTCAGTTTGCAGAGAAGCTGGGATTACACGAGTGCGGTACCAACCACACCTACCTTCCCTTTCTTGCTGAAGTATCCAGGCTGAGCATTCAGTCCAACTCTGATGCAAACTGTTCTCCTCTTCTTAGGTACAGTCAGAAGGATGCTCCTGTCCCCTGCCACTCACTTCCTCTTACAATTTTCCCTACAAAGAGGTGACACTGTGGTTGAGAAAATGGGCCTTGAAGTCAGATTCCGAGGGTTCAGATTTCTGCTCCTCACTGACAATAATGCGACTAGGAACTCAAGCCGATGACTTAACTGGCTAGCCACAGCAGGCTATAGAAATTTTGAGATCTTTATAGCCTGGTGATGTTGGCACCTTGATTTTTTGGTTTTTTGAGACAGCGTCTCGCTCTGTAGTTCAGACTGGCCTTGAACTCACTGTGTAGCCACCTGGCCTGACCAGACAGTGATCCTCCTGCCCTCAGCCTTCCGAGTATTGGGATTACAGGCATATACCACCATGCATGGCTGGATGTTGGTATTTTGAGATTGGCCTTGGTAGGAGCGTTTATTCCATGGTGATTTGCAAGTGCTGCCGCTCTGTGTCTGTCCCCTTTCCAAATCCTATCCTTACCATCTGCCAGCACACCACAGCTCAGTTCCTCGCCTGTAACATGGAGGCAGTTACAGTGTGTGCCTTGCAGGGAATTCCGAGGGAGCTAAGGGCAGTGTCTCCCTGCGCGTGCTGAGCACTTGGGAGGCGTGGGCCGCCACTGGTGCCCCCTCTCATTCCTACTGTGCAGTGCGTTCCTGCTTCATGTGCCCTTGTCTGCCACAGCTTCAATCACAAGACTGGCCAGATCCAGCATGTGCACTCAATAAAAATTTCAAAATCACGTAGTTGATTAGGGCCTTAAAACTGTCAGCTCTGCTGGGGGTTTAGGTCAGCGGCATAAGCGCCTGCCTTGCAAGCAGGCAGTCGTGAGTTCGATCCCCGGTACCGATAAAAAGGAAAAAGACAAAACTGTCAGCTCAAAATGGACAGGAAATGTGTGGTTTTAATAGTTTGAGGGAGATGGTGATGCACATATTATAAAATTATTCTAAATCTAGGACTGATTACCTTTGTTGTACACATTTCAGCTGACCGGATATTTAGAGAGAACTTCTTCTTTGAGAAACTTTTTTTTTTATTGGTACCAGGGATCGAACTCATGACCACACACTTGCAAGGCAGCCGCTTATGCCACTGAACTAAATCCCCAACCTCTCTCCTTTGAAATTCCTATTTTTGCTCTCTCAGGTAAGGACAAGACTATAAAGATAGTTTATTGCAGCATTTGGTGATTCAGGAAACAAACATGTTCTAAAAAATGTAAATAGCCATGTTGAAGTAAAATAAGTGCAAAAGCTGGGCATGGAGGTGCACTCCTGTAATCCCAGCACTTGGGAGGCTGAGACAGGTGGAGCATTGCAAGTTTGCAACCAGCCTGGACTACAAAGTGAGTTCAAGGCCAGCCTGAGCTGCACAGTGAGACCCTAGCTCAAAAAGACCAAAAAAAAGTGCCAAAAATTCACATTAATTGTATGCAAATTAATAAAGACTTTGGTGGGAAACTAAACTCTTGGTAATATATTATAATGTGGGTGCTAAAAATATAGTATCTAATATAAATATATAATAATGTGATCACAAATGAATTGATCAGTTGTATTTAAATAGAAATATACTGATAAAATTTAAGCTTAGTGTGCTCTTAAATGAGTCCATTTATTCTCTCCTGGTTTGTGGGGCTTTATTTTCTAAAAAATATATTCACAATTAGTGAAATATGTATAGCCTCAAGTAAGCATTTAAACAACAGGAGGCTGTCACAAGCACATAGCTGACCACACAGGCATCGCAGACCTGCAGCTGGGGTGACTGACTCCACTTGGAGAACCCTCCCATCAGGATGCTGAGGACTTCACCTCTTTAAAGGCTTGCATGCTTCAGCAACAACTGACAGGTGCTTGAACGGTGCACACAAAATACCAGCACTGAAGATCTGAGCTTGAAGGACCTGCAACCTGCATCCTGGGTGGAGGAGGTGGGACTCGGTGACCGCTATAGCCTCTACCGATACATGATGCTCCTTCTACTCCTCGCCACAGCAAACCTTTCCCAGTTGGGTCTGACTTTAGTGACAACACTCAGGATAATTAATAAGAATGGCTGCTGCCTCCTCCTCAGGCAGAGGACACCCCCAGAGGATGCAAGCCTGCCCCCTGGAGACGGGCTTCTCTACTTTCCTTCTCCTGTTTCCTCAGGTCTCTGGAGCTGGGTTTTCAGAGCCTCCAACAGCCTGTCCAACCTATGCTTGAGTAGCTACGGCTGCATGGGAAGAGTTTTGCCCCCACTCTTCCCGGTGAGGCCATTTGGGAGGCAGTGGCCGTCACCTTGGCTGAGGAACCGCTATGCTCTGACCGCAGCCCACCTCCTGTTCTCATTGTGAGGCTCAGGCTGGCACTCTTTGGCTCACTGTGTGGCTAGTTTTCAGGGCTGGGCTTCTGCTGCGGCCTCCACCCCTCTTCTGCTGCATTCCAGGTCTCTCACTCATCATGTGACTCCAGATCCCTCAGGACCCTTGGGCCTGGCTCTCTGATCCTGTCTGGGGGTGATGTTCCAGGCTCTTGAAGGTTTGTTGGGGTGCTTGTTTCCAAATGCCTTGCCCCCAGGTGGCTGTCAGCCTGCCAGATGCTTCCACGTCCTGCTCCATGACTCCGGGGACACCTCCAGTCTCCTGTTGGGCGCTCACTCTTTTCATTTGAACCCTGGCGTCAGCCATTACAGAGTAGTTAGGAGTCATGGTCTGGCACGAGCCTGCCAGCTTCGCCTGTCCCTGCTTGTGTGTCAGTGCAACCACCTGCTCTCCTTGTGCCTCATCTTACCTTGCCATCTCCACAGAGGGCTTAATCCCTCCCCCTGCAGGACAAGGCCTGGAGTACCCACCTGCTAGGTTGTATTCCTGCATAAAAAACGTGACTTTGGTACATTTTTGTGCAGGATGAGATAGGCCCTGGCCATGGGATGCTAAGTGTCCCCTTCCCTCCTCCCTTCAGTTCACCTTTGGTAAGTGGCACAGTCTTGTTTCAAGTCTTCAAATGCTTATCATGTCTGCACAATCACTGTTAAGAGGGTCAATCTATCAAATGCCTATTTATGGTACATGGGGTGCCTCCAGCAGTGCAACTCACTTAGGTGATTTCACTGAGTCCCCCAGAGGCCCCAGGAATGAGCTGTTACTATCCCCATTGATAGGATTTTTGGCGCAATAAAGAGAGAATATAAAGTAAAAATGGCCTTTATTCTAAGAATGTGGAGAGATAGCCCATGACCACTGGGGGTCTGGCTTTTTCTGCTGGACAAGTGGCGTGGGGGGAGCATATACATAGCTTTTGACTGGGGTGGTGCCTAAAGGTGGCTTCGCTGATATGCAAGTAGCTGATTGGAACTCTTTTTATGCCAGAGGTAAATTGCCTAGGGGCGGGGAAAGTGACCTCAAGATAAAGGTCCCTTGGTCCCGCCTCCCATTGTAGTCCTATCTAGGGCAAAATCCTTTCACCCGTGTTACTACAAGAGGAAGCGAAACCTCTGAGCAGTGAACAAGCTAGCACACAACAGGCCAGGATTTCAGCTGAGTCTCTCTCCACTGTGAAACCCAGGTCCTCTCACTCTAATGATTTTTACCAGGTAATCACAAATGAAAATGTAAAATGACAAGTGATTTTTTGATCTCCTAAGTGCCTCCTTGCCCAATCAGGGCCCAAGCAGGGTGTATCATTCCCTTTTGTATTTTCTTGTTTCTGTATAATTATAACTAAGGCAGAATGTGCACTTCCAAACAAATCAGTAAGAATTGAGACTAAGCAAAGCAACCACTGATATTCTCCCTGTCTCTGTCTGTCTGTCTGTGTTAGTGCTGGGGACTGAGTGCAGGGCCTTCCAACTGAACTATATCCTCAGCCCACCTCTGCTACTTTTTTTTTGAGAAGAGTCTTACTAAGTCACTAAATTTCCCAGGCTGGGTTTGAACTTGCAATCCTGCTTCAACCTCCCAGAGTACACCTCCCCCTGCAGTCCCCTCCCAGGATTAACAAATGTGCGCCGCCACAAAGGGCTGCAACCAATAATTAGATCAGGCATCAGCTAGAAGCCTTAGATTTATTCAGGATAAAAGCTTTCTTTCTTCTGCCCCAGGGATTGGTTTATATTTAAAATTGAGTTGAACTGAGTCTAATTTAACTTAAAAGCAAAAATGAAGTAAAATATAATTAAAAATGTTAAAAGCTATAAGGAAATGATAAGAACTTTAACAAATGATTTGGACAGAAAGAATCAGGGAATAAACACTTGTTCACACACCGGCTGCAATAAATAACAGGTCTCTCACTTAAAGGAAACACTCTAGTCACCGCACTGGGTACCATGGGCATTAGGGGGAGCAGAACTCACTCACATTGCCTTTGTGATGCCCGGCAGGGTGTTTCTTTCCTTTCCAAGCTATTCTTTCACTTCTTATCTAGAGGCAGGCCTCCCTTGGCCTTAATTATCACAATTAAACTAGGGCCCAGCCACACAGTGGGAAGGTGCAGTTACAGCACACAGATGACTTACGGCTTTTAAAGGCAACAAAGCACATCAAGGCTACAAAGCCAACAGTGTGCTTCCTGGTCTCCTAGCGGTTTTTTCCTTTTCGATTGGGTGGTGGAAGAGTTGAGGGCCTTGCGGTTCTCATATGTGACCACAGGCAGTGTAGTGGTGGCTCTGGACTGATTTGGATTCAAATACAGGCATTTAGCAGTTGTTGACTATCAGGCAAGTTACTTAATGTGAACTCTGTTATCTCAGACTAGGGACGAGTTGTAAAAGCATGTGTTTTTTCTGATAGTACTTACCTGTCATGGGCCAGGTGACATGCGCGGTGCTGGGGATGCAATGGTGAGCAAAACTAGGGCATCTTTCCTGCTGGTGATTGCATCTAGTGGGTAGATGATTTTTACTAGGTAATCACACATGAAAATGTAAAATGACAACAGCAATACAAGCCTCACAGTGAAGGCCTAGAAGAAACAGATTGGTCTTAGACAAAGAGGCCAAAGAACAGACAAAGAGGTCATAGAACAGTCAAGCTTTCACTAATAACTTGAGTCAAGGCCTGTAAAATAAATGGACTTTGCAGAGAGGGGCAGAGGATGCAGCAGATGCAAAGGCCCTGTGGCAGCAGGGAAGATGGCAAATGAAGTAGGCTTGAATAATGGTAGTGTGGATGAGTACATAATGGCCAGAGTACGCAGAGCCTTGGAGCTACACTGGGTCACTAAGACATCTTTGAAGGGAAGTGGTTAGAGTACCACCAACATATGGTTAACTTCCATAAACAGGTTTGAAAGTGTTACAAGTTAACAAATTACATTTGCCCCAGCAGAATCAAGTGTAGGCATTTGATTAGAAACCACATAGAGGGGCTGGGGATTTAGCTCAGTGGCATAAGTGCCTGCCGTGCAAGCAGGCAGTCATGAGTTCGATCCCCAGTACCAGTAAAAAAGGAAAAAGACAGAAAAAAAGAAACCACATAGAATCATGAGGTTATGGCCAGTGGGCACTAACCTCCAGAAGCAGGAGAACTGGGAAGATACCAGCCGGTCCTCTATGCTGCTGGGGAGGGGCGATGGTGCCCAGAGATGGGGCAGGGAGCTTCCTTCTGGTACTCCCTAAAATCTACCCCTGGCCGGGGGTGGTGGCGCACACCTGTAATCCCAGCACTCTGTGAAGCTGAGGCAGGAGCTTGGAAAGTTCAAGCCACCCCAAGCAATTTAGTGACTAAGCAAGACCTTGCAATAAAAAATAAAAATGAAGGGTTAGGACATAGTTCATGGCTCAATCCTTAGAACCACAAAGAAACCAAAGTACCTACCTTCATCTAGTGTCTTCTCACCACCTGAAGAGCCCAGCAGGTAGGAGAGCAAACCAATCCTAATCTGTGCTCCATGTTCATCTCAGGTTCCAACATCGGTTGGTTTCCTTATTTTATCTCAAACTTGCAGTCACCAGAACAAAGGCCCTACGCTCTTTGCTGCCCCAGCAGTGCCTTGGAGGGCGGTTACCACCAGGTTCCTCATAGCACTCAGGGAGGCTGGAGCTCAGAACCAGAGCCAGGCCTGTGCTCTTGTGTTGCAGGGTCCCAGTGTGAAGCTACTCTGTGATCACCCCATGGTGTGACACGGCAGAGCTGTGAGAATGGCAGAGGCCACGTGGAGCTGCGAGTGGGAGAGGAGCCCTGAGAACTGGGCACTGTGGTGGATGAGGACGGAGCCTGGGGAGGACACAGGCAGAAGGCTGAGTGTCCCACCCGCTGTTCCCTCCCCATGTGTCCCGCAGACCGAGGGTGGATGGAATAGACAGGGAGAGAGCAGACAAAAAAATTGCAATTTAGGATCTGTGCCTTTGACAAAACTGCAGCATCAAGACACCGTCAGTCATCCGAACTTGCAATGCGCGCTCCACCCCTTGGCCTGTTTTCCTTCCAAACTCCTTATTCCTACAGAATCTTCAAGATGAGGCCCACAGTTTTATTCTAACACTAAAGCCACAAATCCTAGACTTCCATCCTGAAGGAAGCAGCTCTATCAGCTGGATATCACATCAAACACACGCAAACGCATGCAACTGGTTCTTGCATCTTAACCCAGCCCACTCGCAGCTGGTCTTGCACTACAGGTAGATGATAAATAACTCAGGGAATACATATCCCACATCACCCATCTTGAGGACACCCCAAGACCACAAAAACACCCCTGCCCCAGACCACAGTGCATCTCGTTGAGTGCCTGTGCCCCTGCGTGTGGACCGCTCCGATTCTATCTAATAAGCCTGCCTGTGTCTCTTACTGCTGTGTGCTGGAATGCTTTCTGCAACAAGTCAGCAAACCTACTCCATGGGCTGGGCGAGCTGAGGTACCCATTTCCCCCTGGGGTGACCTGCTTGGACACCGTCTACTGATGGCCAGAAGACAAGGCGGCACAGAAGATATCATCCCAGTCATCCAGTGTGAAGCCTCAGCAGGGTTCCTCGACTTCCCCCCAAATCCCACAGCACGGCATCCCCATATCCTACCCTCGGAGGCCCCGCAGCTCTTCTCCATTCAGACAGCTGCGGACTGTATGTACTTCATCACCCAAAGTGTGGCCAAGCACGCTCTTCAAATCCCCGCTAATGTTAGGATCAGCGTCCTGTTAATGGTGATATCTGAGAGAAGCCAAAAGTGAAGCAAAAAGCCAAAAAAGAAAAAATAAGTAAGATTCAGGATTGGCAGCCACAAAACTCAGTTTTTTATTGAAGTACCACATACAGAAGAGCACCCAAACTGAAAGTATACAGTTGAGAGAATTGTCACAATCTGAACACATCGGATGACTGGCAACTGGATCAAGGAATAGAACATTCTAGAAAGTGTACCAGGCTTTCCCTTGGGTTACTATCCCCTTAGGAGTAACTTGGGTCCCTAACTGCCTCACCTCGCTGGGTGTCCTTATTGTGAGGGACATGCAGACTATTCGTTGTCACAGCTGTATAGGATTCCTCTTGTGATGATCCTCATGGGCATTCGGGTACTTTCCGGGTGTTAGGGTCATCATGAACAGTGCAGCAATGAACACTCTAGCACGTTTCCTTTGATGAATACATGGACACATTTCTGTGGGGTTGGCACCTAGGGTGGATGCATTAGGTCATATGGTATTTACATTCAGTTCAGGTTATTTCATGAAAGAATAAAGAATTTACTTGGTGGGGAGCTTGGAGGCCAAAGAAGTACCAGAAAGCTAGAAGGGAGCTCTAGGAAGATAGGAGGGGGCAGCTTGTTCATGGGGCCTCACAGTGGAGACAGAATGGTCTTTAGAGGGCCCTGCTATCCCATCCCTGAACACTCTTACTAGCAGACACACCCTTCCTGCAGCCGACCAGCTCCAGATACCTCCCCTGCCACACAGTGCCACACTAGGCCACTGTGGCTTCCATGAAACAGTTCTCAGCCTCCTTTATTTCTCTGTTTCCTGCTTCAGGTTCACAGCACCAAGCAAGAGGTCCAAGTAGTCTGCCCGGAACGCTGACCACTTGCCTATGGAATCAAGCTGGAGAGCAGGTGTTTGAGAGACAGGGACACCTTCCTGTTTCAGCTTCCTCAGTGGGAGGCAGGCACCACATTGTACTAAATGCATTATATCAGAGTAACATGCCCTTGGAGGCAGGATGAGTAGATGCCAAACACCAAAATGAAAACACAAAATAACTGGTGTTCGATGCAGGCAACCTGTGTGGCAAGGTGGGGGCACCTCCTTGGACCTCACTGATCAGGGGACCTCACCGATCACTCACAGGCCAGGCCCATGAGTTGACCTAATGTGGAAACTGCAACAGATGCCTGATACGCTTTCATGGACTGTGCTTTGTATTATCACATTAGTAACAGTGATGTAGGCCACTGAATATGGAGACTTTGGTCACAACCCAAACCATGGAAGGACTGGAAATTGTATCAGCCCATGCAGTGCCCAGTTCTGCTGTGATCCAAGCTCACAGCTTCCTGACTGCACTGAGCTCATCAATGAGAACCCATGAAACTGAAGATGCTTCCAGAAAAAGCAGCTGGGCACGGTGACGTGTAAAACTGTCTACCAGTCCAGCAAGTGATTAACTGATCTGAAAATTATATTTGCCTCTTCGTAGGCAAGTTTACATTCTTCACCCTGAAGCACTGCTATCTTTGAAGTCACACATTCTTCCCTACATTACAGCTTGGCATTTAGTACATGTGTTTGCTTTAACTGATAATCAGAGCTTCCCTCAATTTCCTTCCAGACAGAGAGGCAGAGGGAGTAATTACCATTGTCCCCGGTTTCCAGGTTAGAACAGCTCAGGCACACAATGGCTTGGCTGAGGTACACAGCCAGCCTCTGGCAGAGCCGGGGGTGGGGTGCGGTGGGGGGAGGCAGTTTCTGAACAGATGGAACAGAACAAACTTAGACACAGAGCTCTCTGTCCTGTGACATCATCAGGGTGGCGGGAGATGGTCTAGGCAGGAATGCAAGTGTCTAGGGATGCAAGAGCTAATGCATAGGTCAAGCTTTTCTCTAGGGATCTAGAGACTGCCTGCAAATGGACTCACCAAGTCCCTCCGGTGTAGGCAGAGAAGTGTCCTGTTGAGTAGCTGTGGGCCAGTGCTGCGAACATGTTTGCCCCCCAGTGTGTAGGTAAGACTGTCTGCAGGTGTACCTACCCGCAGACAGGTACCTGAAGGTACTCCAGCTCAGAAGTCCAGGAAGGACCCTGGAGTCAGACTGCCTGCACTGACGCTCTGCTTTCCTACTTACTTTATGTATCTTGGGCAAAGTATATTATATCCCTGCGCCTCAGTTTCCTCTCTCTAAAACAGGTCTATACTCACGCACTTATTGTGGAGGGTTAAACAGGTTACCATGTCGAGGCTTGGACCAGTGGGCAGCAAGCCTCGAGCTGTGACGCTGTAGTCTGTTTCTAGAGGGTAGGGGCCACCCTTCTGGAGTCCTAGAGGTTCCTATCCTGCAGGCTACTCATTTTCATAGGATGATGGAATGTCACACATGGGGACCCCCAAAGCTGCTGGATGGAACCTATCTACACATTTCAGCTGGTCCCCCAGATGTCACTGGATACAGAACTGCTGTCAATGAGATGGAAATTTTCATTTCAGTAAATTATTCACTGACACTGATTAACTTGATATATTTAACCTTGAGCACTGATGTTTAAAAACGGTAAACCCTTAAATCCATACTTATTTTTTATGGCACATTTGTCACATTTGTTATTTGGCTATAAAAATGTCTATTTTCTTTGCTATGAATGAAAATAACATAAAAGTAAAAAAAATTTTAATAGTGTGACAAATATAATGAGAAAAAAATGAATTGAGCCCAGCCATGGTGGCTCCCTAGTCTAAGAGCATGCACTGTCTTTATGGAGGGTTTCTACAAAGGAGATGGCCCATCACCAAAGGCCTCAGAGGATGGTACAGAAGAACTTCTTCTCCCGGAAGGGGTTCTCTGACGCGGGCACTGGGATGATGAGGGGGTCCTCCCGCACATGGGCTTCACAATATGCCAGGAGGTCTGCCGCAGCCTGGGACACCTGGGGGGACACAGCAAAGGTTCCATTAGAGGTCTGTTCACAGAGCGCACCCGGTGATGGCCCAGGGGGACCATGACAGGGCCCCAGCAGGGCAGAGGGAATAGCCCAGGACGGCCTGCACAACAGCCACATCCAGGCTGCAAAGAGCTGATGCAAACCAGAACGTGACACTAGGTCACCCATGAGGGCAGAGGAGAAAGGTCAAATGCCCTCGTCATACTCCCACCTGGGATAAGAGGAGAGAGCCCAGATAAGAGCCTCACGGTGGTTCCACTGAGCTGTTTCTGAAACAGTAATGCAGAACGTGTCCCTGGCCCAGTCAGTGTGACTGAACTCATCACCATCATCATCATGAGCTGCTTTACTGCAGTCCATCTGCAGTTCACTGCAAACCAAGAAAGGTATTTTGTTCCCCTCAATACGACATGCATTTAGCTGCCTATAAAACTACGTATTTTTCTTATATTTTTAAATTAGTGCGTATTAGTTCTATGGGAGAATGGGTTTCATTCCAGCAGATGTGTATATGCACATACTTTGATCCTCTCTGTCACTCCTGTCACTTCCTGTGCCCTTCTCTCCTTTTCCTGATCTCCCTCCTCTCCTCTAATACATCCCCACCAATGAAAGAAGACAAGCGACACTCGTCTTTCTGCATGTGGCTTATTTCACTTACCACGATGATCTCTCGGTCTGTCCATTTTCCTGCCATGACATGATTTTGCTTTTTTTTTTTTTTTATGGCTACCACTGTGCCATGTCCTACATTTTAATTTGGGGTGGCCTTCCCCTACAGGAGCTGCTCTGGACTGGGAAGCATTCTCCCCATTTTCTTTCTAGACTTCTAACACAGGACAGCTGCGCATCAAACTGCTCCCAGCTCCAGGCCAGAGGAGGTGGCAGTGCACAGAGATGCACTCGCTGAAGGGGAGCAGAGCTGTCAGCTTGATCTGCTCACTCACTGTCTGCAGGGAGAAAGGCTGGGCACCAGCTCAGCTGCCTGAGGGTGAGTCACAGCAGCTTGGGCAGCCCTCCCGGGCCTCTTGGGCATCAGTGTCTTCTCTTCCAGAAAGACAAAGCCGCTCTGTGACTGCACAGGAAAATGTTTCCAGCCCTCTAGTCAGGCAAGCCACACACCATCCCTTCTGGTTTTTTTTTTTTTTTAAACTTCTCATCTTCCAACATTTCATAGAGATTCTTCTGATTTCAAGCCCAGATCTTCTCACATGCCCTATAAATGATTCCACCAGAGACACTGAATGAAGTTTTTTCCCTCAGATAAATCAACTAGAAGTTGAGCAAATATTCAACATAAATTGTGACTTATTTTACATTTGTCAAGAGTGTGGAATAAAAGCTGGACATGGTGGCAAACACCTGTAATCTCAGCACTCGGGAGGCTGAGTCAGGAGGATTGTCGCAAGTTCAAGACCAGCCTGGGCTACAAAGTGAGCTCAAAGCCAGCCTGAACTGCACAGCAGACCCTATCTCAAAAAGACAAAACACAAGAGACAAAAAAGAGTGGAATGGAGAATGAGGCATCAATGAACATCAGGTTTTTTGCTTCACTTCTACTCCTCAGTGACCTTGTGCAAGGAAATCAACTTCTCTGAGCCTTATTTTTCTTAACAGTCAAATTCAGAAGTGTTAAATATCTCTAAACTGGCTTTTACTTGTCTAGTGTGTATGATTTGACTTTTAGTAGCACCATGCTCAGTATTTTAAATTCTGAATGATGTTGGGTTGAATGGGAGCATTTGAAGTTTGCAGTAGCTGACCAGACACTTGTGTCAGACATTTCTCAGGTAAGCAGAGGCCCAGGGAAGAACTAAGCCTGCAAGGACCTGCGACACCATCACAGGGATGGCAGCATCGGTGGACACACACGAGAACAGGAATCGGGCCCTGAGTGCTCAGCACATGGCTGCAGAATACTCTGCTTCCTGACCGTCTTAGTCTTGACGTCCCTCCTCCTCTCTGGTTCCCCACCAGGCCTAGAGATGCCAAAGCTTCTAGGTCTCCCCAGGGCTGCACCAAGGGAGCTGGTCACTGAACCCATCCAGTGGCCTCTCTGGCAGTCCTGGGAGGGGTCTTCACCGCTGCCAAGTCCTTGTGCAGACTGCAGTGATGGAGACACTCTTCCCCCCGGGACTGCTGGGCCTCTGTCCCTGCCTAGTTGTCCAGTGCAGCAGCCTCTCCAGTGTCCGAGTTTCCATTTTCCCATCATTTCATCTTCTGGCCATGCTCCAGAGGATTCTGAATCCTCTGTCACCCTCATTATCTCATTCAGGAAGTGTTTATTGAGTACTTACCTTGTGGCTAATTGAGAGGAGGCAAGAAAAGAATGAGGTGAGACTTTTGCCCTCTAGAACCAATGGAGACACTCAGAAAGAATGACCTCACCATTATAATCAGTATGTGCTGGAATGTCCCGGATGCAGAGAGACAGGGAGCCAATATGCAATCACCTTCCACACGCAGGAGGCAGCCTGCTGAATGATCACTGATCACAGCAGCTTCCGTCCTCTTGATCAGTTCAATAGTACACATGGTCAGCACCATCCATAGGTGGGCTGAGCTACTTTAATCCCGAGAGCAATCTTGAAGGATCATCTTCTGGGGGCTGTTGCAGTGTGGGCCAGTATATCACAGCCACGCATATGAGGGGCTCAAATGTGCTGGACTTTGGGGGACAGTAGAGTGGAGGGAAGCTGGGTGGGCCACAGTCCCTCTCCCACTGGTGTGTTTTCTTCCTTCCAGCCCAGTGTGTGACACACCAGCAACAGTGCTGTGAACACCCTGCCTTGCCATCTCTAAGTAGACCTCTGCTAGGAATTTTCCTGGCGCCTCCCAAAGGTGATACTATTCTTAATGCCTTTTTCCTTTCAAGAAAACAAGTTGTTCCTAGATGCCCTCCTTCTGTTGCAGGTCATAGCTGCATTTGCTTGGTCACCACTACACTCCCCTGGGTTCTGTGTGCCTGTGTGCACGCCTGACCTGTAGGAATGAATGCACAGCAAAGCCACCATTGGGGCAGAGCAGTGAGTACCTGGCTGAGATCAAATGCGGAGACCGGGGTTGCGTCCACGGCCCATTAATCTTCCAAATACACTCAGAATTACTATAAATATATAACTGTGACAGTCAGAATGTCCCTCCAAGGATGACACATTTAACTGCTATTGCAACAGGACACATAAGTGGGACCCTTAAGAGCTGATAGGCCAAGTGGGCTTCCAGCTCATGAAAAGGTCAAGGCCATGACAGCATGAATGGGTTAATTTTCATGGAGTGACCTCTTGATTAAAGGAAGAATTTGCCTGATTTTTCTTCTGCCTGCCCATGACCCATGAGCCATGATTGCCTGTCCTTCTCCCACGTCATGATGCAGCCTGGAGGTCCCTGCAGGTAGATCTCCTAGTCCAGAATGGTGAGAAATAAGTTTTTCTCATAAACTGCCCAGGCTGTTTGATTTTGTGATAACTGAAGAAAAGAGACAGAGGCAATTACTCTATAAACAGTGGTCTATTTATATACTACTGTGTCTAATGGGATGTAAGTCATCTTACCACAAAATAATCAAGTCTTCTGCTTTAAGCAGACTTCTCTTTCCCAGAGTCCAAAGCTCCTTTATTCCTACATAGCCAAAGTGCTGTGGGTAACTGCTGGCATTTATTGGAATGGGATCAGTCGATATAAAACCTGACCAATGCCCATCTCCATGCGTCTTCATGTGACTTACATTTTCATGTGACCTACTATGTGACATCAGGCTTTAACCTAAAGCTGTTCCCTAGGCTAGGTGGGAAGAATTTCTTAACCAGCTCTAGATTGATTTTTATTCCTAGATTGGTTTTGTGGTTGGAGATTTTCTCCTAGAAAAAATGGGTTACAAACATCGCCAGATCCCACAAAACATCTGTCACCTTAAAAAACATAAAATAGACAATTTGCTTTTGAAGACAAAAATTTTTACTCTGGTAGGAACCTGGAAACTCCCTTGCGGCTGTTTTCTCATCGCACCTCATGCTGCCTGTACCTCGAGTCTGCTCTGATGAAATGCCCTGAACATCTCATCTTCTGTCTCAGTTTTCCACTGTTAGAGACACAGGACAGTAGATATCGAAAAGAACCAGCAGCCTGGGAGCAATTGCGGAATTTTTCCATTGCATTTCAGAGTAAAAGAGGTGATTAAAACAGCCTAAGTTAGCACATAATCCTGTTAGTCGCACTATAATTACAAGCTTCACTGATGGGGGAGAATGTTGCAATTACTATAGTCACATTCCACGACAAGACAGATGACATAATTACTATTCTTGCTGTGACACCCACCACACTTATCTTTGCATCCAAAGTACAGAGATCTGTACCTATTTCTCAGTGACGTTGGTCTACTGAACAATACCATTTGGAATCAAAAGCATCTTTGTTGGTTTGGCTGTTCCTTCCTCTACTCCCAAAAAGAAAGCAGGATCATGGTTAGGAGCACAGCTGGGTTGCAGCTGGCATGATGCCATGGTGCCTCCTCTAAGGTCAGACTGCTATACTTCATACAGACACCAGAGGTGGCGCCCTACTGGATCCTCGGGACATGACAAGTATAACCTGCCTCACCTCTAAATTCTGAGCAAATGCTGCACAGTGTATTCTTGAGAATTTCTTGTGACATTCCAAAATGTTTGAAACCAGCACGTTAGTTCCTAATACAGTCTCTAGATACTTTCATAGTATGGCTTGCATAAATCTTGGACCAACATAGGCAATTCTGTCATTAGCAAATGGCCCTGGCAGGGAGGGTCTTCTAGGCACTCAGGGAGTCCTAGGCCATGACACCACCTAGTTGGAAGGAGATGGAGTTATTTCTAAAAGTGAAAGCCAGAGGAGGCAGTGACAGGAGATTCATGAGTGTAAAAAAAAAAACAATGTAATACACCCCCTTTGAATTGTAAGGGCAAATGCCCCTAATTGTGGGTTGGTCACTATCATCGCCACAAAGG